AAAAACTAAGAAGATAAAATGTGATAACAATTCATAAAATTTTCAAAGATAACAATGCATTATTGTTAAAGGTTAACAAAAACTTGGATCATACTAAAAACAAGTTTACAACATATTTCATCACAGATAATCAACTGCAAGTCATTACCTTTCATTTTTGAGTGAGTATTAATCAATGGATCAGAACAAATCCTACAGGGCCACCAAGGGCGTCTCTTGAATTTTGCCCAAATGAGATCTCCAACTTCATATTTCAGTGGTGTAGACTTTTTCTTCGGTTGACACTTTAAACAGACAAAACACACAAATCAGTAAGAATTTTTAAAAAACATTTAAAGCACTATTATCTTCCTATTAAAATTCTGAAAAGCTAGGCTGGGTGTGGTGGCACATGCCTTTAATCCCAGCACTCTGGAAGCAGAGGCAGGAGGATTTCTGTGAGTTCCAGGCCAGCCTCGTCTACACAGTAAATTCTAGGCCAGCTGGGGCTACAGGGAGACCCTGTCTTAAAAAGCCCAAAAAAATTAAAAAATTCTGAAAAGCTATACCTAAAAAATTCAAGATGAAAGCAAATTGTCCAAGATGATTCAGTGGGTATGGGTAAGGAAACCTGCCACCAAGCCTGACAACCTAACTTCAATTCCCAGGACTCACACAATAGCACGTGCATGCATGCACACACACAATCATAATCACATACACACACACACTTTAACGTTTAGAAAAAAAAAAAGAAAAAAGACGGGTCAGGCGTGGTGGCTCATGCCTTTAATCCAAGCACTCGGGAGGCAGAGGCAGGTGGATCTCTGTGAGTTCAAGGCCAGCCTGGTCTATATAGTGAGGTCCAGGCCAGCTCCAGCTGGGGGCTACAGGGAGACCCTGTCTCAAAAAAACATTTTTGAAAAAAAAAAAAAAAAAAGGATAGAGAATAATTAAGAAAAACACTTCTGATTTTCATATGTGCGAACACACATGGAAGCACACCTACACCCACACACCCACCCACCCTCCCACCAGCCAACACATACATTATCATACATACACACAAAACAAAAACAGGCCAGGCATGGAGGTGCATGCCTTTAATCCCAGCAGGTGGATCTCTGTGAGATCAAGGCCAGCCTGTTCTACATAGTGAGTTCCAAGCCAGTTGGGGCTACAGGGATACCCTGTCTCAAAACAACAACAAAGTCCAGTGAGATGGTTCAGCAGATAAAGGTGCTTGCCATACAAACCTGACAACCTGAGTTCAATCCCAGAACCCACAAAAAGGTGAGAGAACTTACTCTCTGACCTCCACATACATGATGTGGCATGTACATACATAACCCACCACACATATGATGCACACACACAATAAAAAAATTTTTAAGTAATTAGGTAAAATGAGATGGCTCATAGTTTGTAATCACAACATTCAGTAAACTGAGGCATGAGGACCCAGAATTCAAGACCAGCCTGAGTACATAGCAAAGTCCTGTATAAGCAAACAAAAAAAAACAATGCTAGGGAGATAGCTCAATCGGTAGAACACTTCTACCTGGCATGCAGGAAGTCCTGGGTTCCTTCTCTAGTATCAATTAACAAACAATCAGTGGTATCTTAAGATGAAGCTCAGAAGTAGAGTACTTGCCTGAGGCCCTGAGTTTAAATAAATAAGCAAGCAAGCTAAGGTTTCAGGATGGAGTTCAGCAGTAGAGTGTTTGCCTAGCATGTGCAAGGCTCTGGGTTCAATCTCCAGCACTGGAGGAAAAAAAGTGAATGAATGAATGAATGGATGGATGGATGGCTAGACAGAGCATGGTGGTATGGACCTATAATCTCAGGTACTCAGTAGGCTGTTTTCTACTGAGCCCTGATTTGCTGATCCTACTGCATTTCCCACACACCTCTTTTCAACACAATAAAATCTAATTAGTGTCATTTACGCTAAATATTTCTTCAAAGTCCATTCCTCTTGCTTCCATGTGTCCTACTCCTTCATTGTGCTGTGACTGATAACTGTTCCCATCTTTCTTCTAGGCCCAGATTAAATAAATCCCTTCTCAACTGCAAACACAGCATACGCCATTCTACCAGCATTGATACGATCCTGCAATACATCTATAATTCCCCCATCCCTTAACAGTTGGCTTGGATCATTTTTATTAAGAAACCTACAACACAAAAGAATATGCAGAGATTATAAAACAACAAAATCATCAAACCCAAATGTTTAGACATTTCTTTTACTTTTAATCCAGTTTAAATATGAACTACTTTCATCATATATATTACACCATGTCATGTCATGTCATGTCATGTTAAAAAATAGATTCCAGCGTGGTAATACAATCCGGTAAACCTGACAGTCAGGAAACAGACTCAAGACCAGTCTGTTCTACATAGTGAGTTCCAAGTCAGCCAGGGCTATACAGTGAGACCCAGGCCTGAAAATCAGACAAAGAGAGAGACAAAGAATGTAAACAGTAATCAAAATGATGGCAACCAATACACATCTTTCAATAATAACTGTAAATATCAATGGACTAAACTCCCCTGTCTAAAGACACGAGCTAGTTGAATGGATTAAGAAACAAAATCCGGGGCTCAAGAGATGGCTCAGGGATTAAAGGCACTGACTACTCTTGCAGAGGACCCAGGTTCGATTCCCAGCACCTACATGGCGGATACAAACCATCCTTAACTCCAGTTCCAGGGGAATCTGAAGCCCTCTTCTGACCTCCACAGCACTGCACGACACAGGTGCACTCACATACATGCAGGCAATACACTCATACACATTTAAAAAAAAAAAAAAAGAAACAAAATCCATCTTTTGCCTGTCTACAAGAAACCCATCTCACCTTCAAGAACAGGAACTACCTTAAGGTGAAAGAATGGAAAAGAATATTCCAAGCAAATGGCACTACGAAACAAGCAGGGGTTGCAATTCTAGTATCTGACAAAATAGACTTCAAACTAAAACTAATCAGAAGAGATAAAGAGGGTCTGATCAAAGGAACAATTAACCAAGAAGATATTACAATCCTGAACATATATGCACCAAACTCTGGTGCACCCAAATTCATGAAAACAACAACACTACAGAACTTTAAGACACAGATTAATCCAAACTCAGCAAGAGTAGGAGACTTCAATACCCCATTAGAAAGGTCAAGTGGACAAAGAATAAACAGAGAGACAACTGAATTAAATGATACCATACATCGAATGGACTTAACAAGACATCTTCCAAATATTCCACTGAAGCAAAATACCATACATCAAATGAACCTAACATCTTCCAAATATTTCACCCAAGCAACAAAGTATATACTTTCTATTCAGCTCCCCATGGAATTTTCTCAAAAATTGAGCACAAAAAAAGTTTAATTTCCTCCCTAAGGGATTACACTATTCCCGAATACAAAAGACAGAAGGAACAAATAACTTACCCCAAATAACAGGCAGAATAAAAACATAAATACCCATTCTGTGCTATACATTTGTAAACCTTTATTATTTTAAGGTTTTAATTTTTTTTTTTGGGGGGGGGCGGAGATCTCCCTGCAGCCCCAGTTGGCCTGAACTAGCTACATACACCAGGCCGATCCTGATCTCAGAGATCTGCCTCTGGTTCCCAAATGCTGAATTAAAAGACATGAGCCACCAAGTCCTGCAAGTTTTAGTCTCTTGCAATATTGTATTTACTTTTGTGTGTGTGTGTGTGTGTTTGTCTTTTTGAGACAGGGTCTCCCTGTAGCCCTAGCTGGCCTGGAACTCACTATCTCACAAAGAACTCACAAAGATCCACCTGCCTTTGCCTCCCAAGTGCTGGGCTTAAAGGCATGCGCCACTACACCAGGTGTATTACTTATAATTAAATGAAAATCTCTAAACATTGGGTCATGTTTCCATATATGTACAATAGAGAATCTCTTATATTGAAAATACATTGGCTTAATTACCACTCTACCCTTGGCCACCTGTATGATTTTATAAAGTTCTTCTCTGAAGTTATGTCTTCATAAAGATGGGATATCTCCCAATCTTAAAGAAAGTTGTATTGACACTAACAAACTGCAAAACCACTTTAGATTTTTATAATCTAATATAGGGCACTGTAGTAGTAGCTATTTTCAGGTGAAAATTATTCTACAAGATTGTGATTTTCCTTCCAAAATCAACTCAGAATTGCAAAAAAGTAGCAAACTATTACTGTAAGTATGTGCATTACTTCACCTCACACAACCACATAATCTAATAAAGATATATTTCAAATTATCAAAACTAAATCTCAAAAAATACCATATAAAACAGGCAGTACATATTCTATTATCTGTACATAAAAGGAAACCAGAGTGGCCCTGCTAAAGATCTAAAAGAGAGAGGGCTGGAGAGAGATGGCTCAGCAGTGAAGAGCACTGCTTGCTCTTGCAGACAACCCAGGTTCGGTTCCCAGCATCCATATGGCAGCTAATAACCATCCCTAACAACAGTTTCAGGGCATCCAATGCCCTCTTCTGACCTCTCCAGACATGCACAGCATGGGTGCACTTACATACATGCAGGCAATACAATCATACACATAAAAACTTTTTTTTTAAAAAAAAAGATCTGTAAGAGTCTAGAGACCAGCAATTTATTACCCCAATTCTTCCACACCAACAGAACAAAGAAGTCAACTAATCCTTACTACCTGAATCCCTAACCTTCTCAATCTGCCAACATCTATAGAGGAAAAAAAAAAGGACCTGGAACAAGGGCACATCTAGCAAGGAATGGCTAGAGATATAGTCTCTGGAAGCATTGCAATTCTAACATCTAGGAATCTAGGTGTTAGAACTGAGCAAAAGTTAAATGTTATTGAAAAGAAATGCCCCTTAATCACTGCCTACATCCCATGAACAACAACAAAATACAACCTGAGCAATAAATCAAATGGAATCACCAAAGACTTGGGAAAAAGGGCTGAGGAAAAGCAGGGATTTGGTTTAGTGAAAGCTAGAAAGTAGAACAGCTGCTGGATTGTTCAGAAACATTGAGAACTATATGAAAGGCTAAGGCTAGAAGACCATCAAGAAAAGCCTGGACCATGACAGGCAGAACAGAAGACTCAAAAGCACAACTAGGGCTGGGCGTGGTGGTGCAAGCCTTTAGTCCCAGCACTTGGGAGGCAGAGGCAGGCGAATCTCTGTGAGTTCAAGGCCAGCCTGGTCTACACAGTGAGTTCCAGGACAGCTGGGACTACAAGGAGACCCTGTCTCAAAAAGACAAAAAATAAAAAATAAAAATTTTTAAA